GCAGGGGGGGTAGTCGGGCATGGTGGGAGAAGGAGGAGGCAGAGAATCACTTGTAAATGGCACCAAGGCAGGACTGGAAGTCGAAATTCCAAGAGGGTGAGAGAGTGCTGTGCTTTCATGAACCTCTTCTTTAAGAAGCAAAGTGTGGACTTCCGGGTTGATTAATACTGAAGGGAGAACGCTTTCGTCCCCGCCATGGCTGAGCTGATCCAGAAGAGACTGCAGGGAGAAGTGGAGAAATATCAACAGCTACAGAAAGACTTGAGTAAATCTATGTCAGGGAGGCAGAAGCTTGAGGCACAACTAACAGAAAATAATATCGTGAAAGAGGAACTGGCCCTGCTGGATGGGTCCAATGTGGTCTTTAAACTTCTGGGTCCTGTGCTGGTCAAACAGGAGCTAGGGGAAGCTCGGGCCACAGTGGGGAAGAGGCTGGACTATATCACAGCTGAAATTAAGCGATATGAATCCCAGCTCCAGGACCTTGAGCGGCAGTCAGAGCAACAAAGGGAGACCCTCGCTCAGCTGAAACAGGAGTTCCAGCAGGCCCAGGCAAGCAAAGGCAGGAGCTCCTGGGAAACCCTGACCCCATGGTGGGGGGAAGGGGTAGGGAGGGGAGGGAATGAGGCAGCTCTAGGATCTATGCTGTAGCTAATAAAATGTACAAACACCTGGCTGTTTTCTGATCAGCCACTTCTGTCAAAAAAAAAAAAAAAAAGCAAAGTGTGTAAAGGTTGCCATAAAAGACAAACAAGTGAAACACGTTATACATTACAGTGGTTGGAATAAAAATGGGGATGAAAGGATACCAGAGAACAGAGTACTCAAATACATGGACGCCGATCTGCAGAGGCAGCGAGAACTTCAAAAAGCCAATCAGGAGCAGGATGCAGAGGCGAAGATGAGAGGCTCTGCCCCAGGAAAGAAGACATCTGGTCTGCAACGGAAACACGTTGAAGTGAAAACAAAAAAGAGCAAACAGAAAACAGCTGGAAATGGAGATGGTGGCAGTACCAGTGAGACACCTCGCCTCCTCGGGAGAAAAGGGCCCAGGTAGATCCTACTGTTGAAAATGAGGAAACGTTCATGAACAGAGTTGAAGTTAAAGTCAAAATTCCTGAAGAGCTAAAACCATGGCTTGTTGATGACTGGGGCTTCATTGCCAGGCAAAAACAGCTCTCTTATCTTCCTGCCAAGAAGAATGTGGATTTCATTCTAGAGGATCATGCAAATTATAAGAAACCTCGTGAAAACACAGATAATAAAGGCGTATGCTGTTGATGAAGCTGTGGCAGGAGTAAAAGAATACTTCAATGTAATGCTGGGCACTCAGCTACTCTGTAAATTTAAGAGGTCACAGTATGCTGAAATCTTGCGGGTCACCCCGGTGCTCCCATGTCCCAGGTGTATGGAGCACAGCATCTGCTGAGATTATTTGTTATGAATTGGAGCGATGTTGGCCTATCCACCTCTGGATGAGAAGAGCCTTGCTTTATTACTGGATTATCTTTTTTTTTTTTTTTTGAGTTGGAGTCTCACTGTCGCCCAGACTGGAGTGCAGTGGCTGCTCCCGGCCACCGCAGCCTCGACCTGCTGGGCTCCGGCGATCCTTCCGCCTCAGCCTTCCAAGTAGCTGGAACTACAGGCGCGCGCTACCACCCACGCCTGGCTGATTTTTTTATTTATTGTAGAGATGAGGTCTCGCCAAGTTGCCTAGGCGGGTCTCGAACCTTTAGGACTTCCTAAAATTCCTGGTAAAGAATTCTGCAACCTTGTTTGGAGCCAGTGATTATGAAATGACCCCTCCTGGGATCCGTCACTATGTTTGGATCTCTGTAAACATATTTTTGTTCTTGGTCTTTCTCTTGTACAAATGATGTACTTTGAAGATGTTACTGACCGGGTTCGGTGGCTCAGCCTGTAATCCCGCGATTTGGGAGGCCAAGGTGAGTGGATTGCCTGAGCCTGCAGGTTCGAGACCCGCCTGGGCAACTTGGCGAGACCTCATCTCTACAATACATCAAAAAATAGCCAGGCGTGGTAGCGCGCGCCTGTAGTTCCAGCTACTCGGAAGGCTGAGGCAGAAGGATCGCCGGAGCCCAGAGGGTCGAGGCTGCGGTGGTCGGGAGTGGCCAATGCACTCCAGTCTGGGTGACAGAGTGAGACTCCAACTCAAAAAAAGAAAAAGATGTTAGCATATGACAGCATTAATGTTTGTTTTCTGTTTGATTTTAAGCAGAGAAAATAAAGGGGGTTGTAGCTCCTTTTTCCTTTTTCTTCCTTTTTTTTTTTTTCATTTCAAAGTTGCTACCAGTGTATTCCATGATGCACAACAGAGTGACATGCTATAGAGTGTTTTAGTGCCTAGTCCACAAGGCTGCTTTTGAATGCTGGTGGTTCTACTCCTTTGACACTACGCACTTCTATAATACTACGTTAATGCTAGATGGCAAAATGCTCTGATTCCTAGTGCCAAAGGTTCAATTCAGTATATATAACTGAACACACTCATTCATTTGTGTTCCTTTTTTTGTTAATGGTGTTTACAGTAAAGAACCCATTCTTGGCAAGTCATCCATGTTGTTCCGTAGGCATTTAATCTTTGCTGAAATTGTTGAAGAATGGTGGCTTGTTTCATGGTTTTTGTATTTGTGTCTAATGCACGTTTTAACATGACAGACACAATGCATGGTGTAGCTAGTTTTCTGGAAAAGTCAATCTTTTAGGAATTGTTTTTCGGATCTCCAATACATTTTTTCTTTAAATTTCAAAAAAAATATTGATGAACCATGTACATATCACAGCTGATTTTAAAAAATTGTGGGGGTTTTTTTTAGATTCAAGGGGTACATGTGTAGATTTGTTACATAGGTGCATTGCGTGATGGTGAAGCTTGGTCTTCTACTGAGCCCGTCACCCAGGTGATGGACATGACACCTGGTGGGTAGCTTTTCACTCCTTAATCCGCTTTCTCCCTCCTCCCTTTAGGAATACCTCCATCTGTTGTTCCTGTCCTTGTGCCCATGTGTCTACAGTGATTAGCTGCCACTTATTAGGGAAAACATGAGATAATCAGTTTGCTGTTTCTATGAAGATTACAGCTGTTTCTACATGTATGCAGGTGCATGTGGCCAGTGTGGAAACCATTTGCCAGGGGCTGTCTCCACTGCTGTTGAATCCAATGGTTCTTTGGCCTGGCCAGTGGTCACCCAACAAGCACAATCATCCAGTGGTGGCCGTAGTGTCCTTTTAAACATTTTTATGGAATTCACAACAGCATTTGGACATTTTCCATCAAATCCAGAAGAAAAGAAATCATTAGGATGGCTTTGACCACAGTGATTTTTAAATGTCCCTTGATACTGTCTCAGAAATTTTCAATTTAGCATCAGGACACCAGTACTGAGATCTGACCTGGTCAGGGGCTGGTTTCTCCCCTGCTGGACTCAGCACACAAGTTGCAACAGATGTTTCTCTTTAAGGTTTGTGGGAACTTTGCTCTCCTCCCCCCGACTCAACTCTTCTTTCAGAGGAACAAATACCAGAAAGGTTGAGCTCTGAAGACCCAGCGCCTGGTCTCCTGTAGTTCCTGGAATAACTCAAGGCAAGATTGTCTATTGTCAGACTCAAGTAACAAACACTAAACCCTAGAAGCATAAAAGACACCATGCTATGTTTTGGAGCTACTTTGAATTCTTTGGAAGTCTTGGGAGGAAGAAGAGTAAAATGAAACAAGACAGGGAATGTCACTTTGAAACGGGACACCTGGGATATCGCTGAAGCAGGTTCCAGCACTTCTAGAGTAGAATAGTTACTCTTGGCTTCCATGGGACTGAGTTTCATGGACAACAAAACGTTGCTGTGTAGAATTAACTGTGTATGTTAAGTTCATTTTACGGGATGCACACAATCCTACTGTAAACTCTTTATTTATTTATTTTTTGAGTTGGAGTTCTCACCCCGTTGCCCAGGCTAGAGTGCAGTGGTATGCTCACAGCCACCACAGCCTCCACCTGCTGGGCTCTGGTGATCCTTCCGCCTCAGCCTTCCAAGT